GCTTTCGGCCAAAAAAAGAAAAAGAAAAACTCCGCCAAAATTTTGACGCATCTGAGCCAAACAGAGTTCAGGTGATGGAAATGATCAATTGAGTCTACTAACTTATTTTCGTTCCACTTAGCTTAAAATACGCCATCGTTAAGGCACTGGATGCAAGCAATCGCCACTTTGAACAACGGTTCCAAAATTATCTGGGTGAGAAGAAATACTGGAAAAAAAATGCAAAATTCAGTCATAAAAAAGTAAGATTTCACTCTAAAAGAGCAAAATTTAACTAAAATAGTGCAAAATTTACTCCGAAAAAACATCAAAATTAATTTGGAAATATTAGTTAGAGTTAAAAAAACGATTAATTTGCTTCGGAAACGATAAGCTCCTTATCAAAAAATTCTATAATGAAGCAAACGAATGCATCGTTTTGGACAAACATGCTGAAACTAGGATGCACGTACTCTCGCCCCCTTTCCTCTTTTTCTGGAAGCCATGCGTTCATGATCTAAAAAGAGGAAAAATGCCCGCTAAGACGACAAGCTTCCCACTTTCTAGGACGATAAGCTTGAGCACTTTAAACAAAGTCCAGTTAGAATAAATTACAGGAATATTTATTAGTGAAAAAACTGCTCGAAAAAATCATAGGCAAGACATGAATTTAATGTACCAGTGGGTAATGAGTGGGTAAGATATGAATTTTGGTGCATTCTTCTGGTTCAATTCGTTTTTCAATTCAACATTCTAACAGAATATTGAACAGAACATTTTCCAGTACTATTCGGGTCAATTTACAGCAACTGATTATGCAGATGCTCATCCACGTCTCGCACATTCCATTGCAGTGCTAGTGCACAACTCACGTGAAGGTCTTGGGACATTTCGTGGAAATTAAAGTAAGTATTCGAAAAAATTAAATTTAAAAGGCCAAAAAACTGCAAAATGATCGGAATGCTTAGAATCACCCTATCTATCGAACTGTCATGTCCAACAGTCACCTCCTCATCATTCTTAAACCTTTCCGTCAGTAAGTGAAAAAATACCTATGTGAGTTATAAGGTTCCCATGTATGTGAAATTTAGGCCTCAAAATAAGCCTCAGCAACGGTGTTCCTATACTAAAAAGCGATTTTCGAGTTTGGAGAGTCCAGGAATATTTCAGTCGAGCTATTCTGAGATGCTGTTGCCTGCTTGCAATGGCCCTTTGTATTTACAGAAAGGGTCTGGATGTCGCAATATTCGTCATGTTT